AACAGCCAGCTGACTGGATCCTCCAAGTGTGGCACAAGATGAACCATAAATCACCTATGGTGTACTCCCGGGCCTAGTGACTGCGCTGATAACCCCAAAATATATGGTTCAAATCCACCAGCTGCTCCTTAGAAGAAAGGTGGGCAATCTCCTCCCATGAAACATCTACTGAAGGGTCAGCTATGAGTCTGTTCCAACTCGACAGCCTGTAACAACAGCAACATCATCAAGGGTGTACTCCAGCCAAAATGCACAACATCAACCATTAGGGCAAGCTTCTCAATTACCAGGATTCCACAGACAGAAGAATATGCTAAAAGACCTAACAATATTCTTCAGATTCATAAAAGTTTATGAAAAAAGGAAAGCTCTAGGTTGAGACTGTAGAGATTTAAAAATCGATTGAATGTTCTGAAATCAGATTCTGGCTTGGACACATCAATAATAAATAATAACTATGAAGGCCATTATTATGATAAGCAGTGAAATAGAAACAGAGATTGGTGTGAGCGTGTCCTTCTTTGGGTTCCCCTTGGCTAAAGGAAAAGTCTACATCCTACCCTTGAACCTGGGCTGGTCTTGTGATGAAATGCTGGGTGAGTTCTAGCCTCAAAGCCTGGTAGACTCCATCTTTAAACCCCCTGTCAATCTCCACCGGCTGCCATCAGGACCACCACGCTAAACATTGTTCTACTGTCCTGAAGGATGGCAGGTCATGTGGGGAGGAAGAGAGACGCTCCAGCCCACAGCTAGATACAACCCAACTGACAAGATACAAGAGTGAAGATCACTGTGGCTCTTCTGGCCAAGGCAATCCTCTAACTGAAGCAGCCTGGGGGGGACCAGCCAAATTAGGAGAGGAGCTGCCCAAGCAATCCACAGAATCGTGAGCTAATTAGACCTCTGCTTCATGCTACCAAACTCAGGGGTGGTTTAATATGCAGCCATAAAGAACTTGTGTAAGTGGGTATTAATGAAATGAAAAAGCATTGAAAGGAAAGGTAAATACCAGTAATTGAAAAAAAAACATGGTTATAAATAAAATGTACAGGACATTTTCACTTTGGTAAAAGCACACAGAGCTCCAGAAGAACAGATACTAAGTCATAACAAAGTGCTAGAAATGAGGTTACTCTCTAGAGAGTAAAAAAACGCAGCTTCTATTCTCTTGCTTTTCTCTATTCTCTCTCTATATAGACAATGTTGTTGTTTGTTGTTGTTATGTGCCGTCGAGTTGCCTGTGATTCATAGCGACCCTATGTACAACAGCCCCAAACTCTGCCTTATCCTGTGCCAATCTCACCATCTCCAACACACCTGCCCCCATTACCCCAGTCACTGAATCAATCTATCTCATCAAGCATCTTTCTTGTATATACAGTAACACTTTATAAGAATAAAATATCTTTTAAAAAGATTTCATTTTTGAGAAAACAGACAATGGTCTAGTCATCAGGCAGGCTGGGGGTCAGCCAGGCCCCTGCAGAGCTGGAAAGGTCAATTCTGACTCTAACCTCCAACAGTATATAAAGATGGATAAAGTCAACCAACCAATAAACCTAATTACCCCCATAGCATGACACTTACAAGACTGCCCAGCATGCACTTCAAGCTCTGCTAATACTTAAAAAGAGCTCACTGCTGTCAACTTGATTACGACTCATAATGGCCTGGGAGAACAAAGCAGAAGTGCCTCATTGGGCCTCCACGGTCGTAAATCCTTCCAGAGACACACTGCCAAATGCTTCTCCCACACAGCAGCTGGCAGGCTTGAACTCCCAACCTTTCAGTTAGGAAGGAGCTGAGCCCTTGACCACTGTCCCACCAGGGCTCCTGCAGACATGCAAGACTATAAAATAACCTAGAACAGAATTCTGTTCTAGATTTCCGAAAAGATTTTATGTTAACGTCAAAAAGCAACTGTGAGGAAGCACAAACAGAAATGAAGTTAAACAGCTGGACTGGGGCAAGGGTTGGAAGTGCGGCATGCCTTCTACACGTAATGCATCACTTGCTAGGAGCGCGGCAGGGCTTTTATGCAACGCCTCACTTACTAGGGGATGAATGTGCCGTCTAGTTCACATTCCACTCGAGTTGGTGCAAAAAATGAGTTTTCCTGCTTTGCTTTCTATTTGTTTCTTTATGGGCCAATGACGGAGGACAAAAATAATGGCATTACAACAACTACAAGGGACTTGAATGAAGGGCTATCTTTTTTTAAATCAAACACAATGTTTTAGTCCTCCAATTTTAAACTGAAAACATGATTTACAAAACATAACCGGCAATAAACAATAAAAAGCATTCTGAGTGCTGTTATGGTAAGAGAACAGAGGCGAGGGAGGAGGGAGGGCAGCTGTGGGGCTGGGGTAGTGCCGGGAGCCTGGGCTCTCGTTAGCTGCTGGCTGGAACGAGCTAAACAATCACAGGCATGGGGCTGAACTTTTATGAGCTGGTGTACTGAAAAGGAAGAGGCCTGAACAAGACATTATTGTACAAACAGACTTCTTAGGCTCCCCAGGAATTCAGAGAGGGTGAAGAATAGAACAGACCAGTGGGACTCAGTGGCCCTCAACCTAGATTCAAACACAGCCGCTTGTGTCTGTTTTCTGTTTGAGTTTCTGTGTTTTTATTTCATGCAAGGGTTCTGCTTCTCCAAACTGGAAGACATTCTATTAAAATACTTTGTACCACACAGCACTGGGTAAGGCAGGCATGACAACAGCAAACACGTAGCTGAGCAGGACAGCAAATCCAGGAGGAACCAACAGCAGAAGATACTGCCCTTCTGTAACAATGGGCTAATAGTAATATTCCTAGGGACCGTGGCAGGACAGGAGAGATTATGTCCTATGTGGGGAAAAGACCTAGCAACACAAATCAAGAGTAACTCCAGGGCCCAAACAGTGATGCAATTCTAGGTATCATTTTGAAAAAGTATAAAGGTAGTAGGGTTCTGTGCCCAAATGCTCATCTTTCGTGTGGGCAACCTGGGTTTGCATTTTGAGTACAGACACCTTATCTCTCAGTGGAGGCTGCTATGATGCTGTGAGGCAAAATGGGTTTCACTGGTCTTCCAGACTGAGACCAGAAAGAAAGGTCTACTTTCTTCCTTCTTCTAGTGGTCAACTTTCAAAAACCAGCTAGTTAAAACTCTGCAGGTCACAGTAGTTCCCCTCACTGCACAAGGAGTCCCTGGAGCGAGGGGGGCTGACACCATGAAAGCTAACAACAACAGAAATACAATTTCCAAAATAATCTAATTTAACAAACTGGCCAAATTAAAAAACCAAACTTGTCTGCGCTACCAACAATCAGATTACAGACAACAATTTTGGCTGAAAGAACACAGATCTGGGAATGAGTCGGGACTGAGTTCTAAATCTCCAGCTTCCATTAGGTGTGTAACTTCAGGACAAGCAGGCTGTCAGATGGTGTGACCTTGCTACTGAGGGGACCGCGGAAGCACAGCAGTGAGGGTCAGTGCTCAGGACAATTCCCAGCCCAGCCTCAGGTGCACTGCAGGTGCCCAGGAAAGAGCTACAGCTTACGGAGCACAAGGAAATGTGAAACTTCCTTCCAGCCAATTCTCACAAGTTCAGGAGGAAGTCTCATCTATAAATGCAAATTAACATGAAATGAGGATCAAAACTGTCACAGATGAAATGTTCAAAGGTACAGGCAAAAGTCAGGCCTTTTACTTCAGGACAAGAAGATGGTGCTATTTCTGCAAAGCAATCTGACAGTGTGCACTGCAAACGTTTCTTGATCCCAAACACAATGGTTCAAGTTTATCTGGGAAAGGAAGCGCTTGCTGAGGAGATCAGAGTGAGCTAAGAGGGGACTAATAAGTGGGTACCTCTATTATATGCAGGGTTTTCACAGGGAAAAGCAAAGCGTTTCTAGGAACAGAAAGAAATTTGTTCTTCATTTTCCCAGTACTAGCTTCCATAAATATCCCCTTGTCAGCTAAGTCACTGACCTTCTTATTTCTGAAAACTAAAGTAGTAGCTGTCTGTTGTTGATTGCCATCGAGCCAAGCGTAATTCAGCGACTCTATGAACAAAAGACCTAATGTCTTTCCATAACGATTGTCAATTCAAGTATATAGAGTTTCCAGAGGCATGTGGTTTAGGAAGGGGATGCCACTCCTGCTTCCAAACCTGTTTTACAACTGGGAGCTCCACCAAACACTGTGCACATTGGAAAACCATTCTGGTATTTGACACTCCAATGGTACAAGGTTCAGCATCACAGCAAACCCGGGTTACCTCATACAGCACATTGAGAAAAAGTGATGTACAAAGTGGAAGAGTGTTCCTCCAGATATAACAGCACTAGTCTCGTTTAGCAGTGGTTAAGTGTCATTAGGTTGATTAGGACTGAGAGTAAGTTTTGCACAAAGGACCTGAACTCTGTTTTGTAACTAATACCATTTCTGTACTGAACTCTTGTTCTATAACTAATATCATTTCTATACATTTATAGAGTTCAGAGACTTTGTAGAGTTTGGAGTGTTTGTACTTACGGTTCATTTATTTCCCATTCAGCATCTTCATGTAATGGAAACATACAGTTCAGGGAGGAAGGTATATACTCCTACCTAGCAAACTAATTTTTCCTTGAGTCAAGTATAGAACATCCCATGAGGTAAGAAAACCCCACATCCAGAGCAATGTACCACACAGGAGAATGAGAGTCAAAATACTTCACTTCATCTAAACAAAAGTGTCCGTTTGAGCACCCCAAACCAAACCATTGATTCCTGTGCCATCGAGTCGATGCCAACTCAAAGTGACCCTCCACGGCTGTAATCTGTAACAAGAGAAGATCTACCATTTCGCTCCCATGTAGCATCTAGTAGAATCGAACTGCTGACCATTCCATTAGTAGTCCAATACTTAACCTACCAAAGCACAAGAAGTCTTTGGCCTCTGAGAACATTATGGCCCAAATCCCAAAGTAAAAGGGTTTTTCTAAAGAGTCTGGACACAACCTACCTAAAATGAGGTGGAGTTTGGTTTCCGTCTGGAAAGCGTAGTGCAGCGTGACCAGGAAGGGCGACTGTCTGATGTGCTCCAGGACCTGCCGTTCCGTCCGCGTGTGCTCCGTCGTTTTGGCCTTTTGGACGATCGTCGCTTTTTTCAAAACTTTCATGGCATACAGCTTTCCGGTATCATGACCACTGATTTTACGCACCAGAAACACTTTTCCATAAGCTGAAAAGGAGAGAAAGAAAATGATGTGACACGGACAGAGTGGTTACTTTATGAGAAAGTGACTGTCACAAGGCAGGATCCGCAGTGCTGGGCTCTGACTGCACGCGGGCAGCGTCTCAGACCACCTTGAGGGGTTTACCAATCTGCTGACATGGCCACGCCTTCCCTCTCTGCCTGCTATTCTCTCCCTGTATTTTAAGCTCAAGGAAACTGGCCGTTATTATGGTCAACTAACCACAATCCACTTCCAGCAAAACAAGGACATTTGGAAAGACAAAAATCTCTAGGTGCATATGTTTTTTGCTCACGCACACAAACGAAAAGAATTTTTAATATGAATTCCATACATCACCTCAACAAGATAAAGGTTGTTGTGGTTGTTGTTAGGTGCCATCAAGTTGTGGACTCATGCGACCCTATGAACGAAAAACCTGAATGCTTGTACAACTTTCATCATTTCTCCACATTCATAGTGTTTCTGGAGGCAAGCTATTTTGGAAGTGGATGCCACTCCTGCTTCCAAGATAAAGGTAAACAATCCAATTACAAAATGGGCACAGAATATGAACAGACACTTCCCCAAAGAAAACATTCAGATGGTGAACAAACATATGAAGAGATGTTCAAAATCCCCAGCTCTAAGAGAGATGCAAATAAAAACAACTATGAGATATCATCTCACCCTAGTAATAACAGCAAAGTTCAATTGAGCAGCAAACAACAAATGCTGGCAAGGCTGTGGAGAAACTGAAACACTATTCACTGCTGGTCAGAGTAGAAAATGGTGCAACCACCTCTGGAAGGCTGTATGGCACTTTCTCAAAAAGCTGCAAATAGAAATACTAGTTGACCCACCAAGTGCACTACTGGGAATATACCCTAAAGAAACTGGAACTGCCACCCAAACAGATATATATGCTCACCCATGTTCACTGCTGCATTGTTCACAATAACAAAGAGATGGAAGCAACCCTAGTGCCCATCAACAAACAAATGGATAGAGAAGCTGTAGTATATTCACACACTGGAATACTACGCAGCACTGAAAAGCATGAAATATTATACAAAATGGGTGACCCTGGAGGACATTATGCTGAGTGAAATATCTCAAGTCACAAAAGGACAAATACTGCATAATGCCACTGTTATAAAAAAAGACTGGCATGGGGGTTGGAGGGAAACTAAGAAAAGAGGGGGGAAATAATGAACACTACATTGGGACAGATAAGGGAAAGAACTGTTTAAAAAGAATATATGATTAGGCATTATTTGCATGACAACAGTCCAGATTAAGAGGTGCATAGCAAAGCTGACTGGAGCTCGGGGGCGGGGGGCGAAGGAGAAAACAGTGCAACAATTAATGAATTTTTTAAAGAGAAAAGTGAACTGAGGAGGGTAACGTGCAATAATGAATGAATGGAAAACCAAGTTTTCTGTAAACTTTCGTTAAAATCACAATAAAAAAATTTTTTAAAAAGGAGAATCCCATATATCATATATCTCTAAGATAAACTCTTGTTATAGAAACAAAAGAGGCCTTTGGACACTGCATGACAAAAAGGCCATAAATTTCAAGCGATACAGACAGCATCCTGCCCTTTACACATCTGGGCAGTAATTGGTGCTCATTGGTCAACAGAGCCAGTCACATCGGGGCAGTAATTGGTGCTCACTGGTCAAAAGAGACGGGGCTCTGGGCAGCACAGGCCTGTGTGAGGCAGGGGTTGGGCCCTCTGGGCTTCACCAGGCAAAGCAGGTCCTCCACATTCATTTCTGGAGATGGGAGGGGCTGAGAGAAATGGGAAAGAGGCTGGAGGGCAGACAAAATACTCTACCAGTAAGAAGTAAGTCACTGATTCATCCCAAAGAGTTGTGGTAGCACACTGGTTCAACATTCAGCTGCTAACTGAAAGGAAGATGGTTCGAATCCATCATGGGAGGAAGAAGTGGCAATCAGGTCCATAAAAATATACAGCATTGGAAACCTTATGGTCAGCTCTACTCTGCCCTAGAGCTTTACTATGATTAGTAATCAACCCAATGACAAGGGAGCTCAATGGGAGCTCTGGTGGCCAGTGGTAAGAAACTAAGCTGCAAACCCTAAGGCATGCAGTTCAAATCTACCAGCTGCTCCTCGGGAGAAGGATGGGCAATCTCCCCGTTTGATGAACTGCCTCTGATAACCTGTGGGGTCAGCTGTGGGTCAGTTTCAACTAGACAGTACACAACAAATGATAAGGAGTTGGTATTTTGGTTTTGTATCAGTGATGGTATTAATTATTAAGGCATATAATTTGCATACAGTATAATGATGAAACACTATTCATTCAGAAGCAATGGAATGATGCTAGAAGTTATTCTAGTCAAGAGTGTCTTCCAACAGAGCAGGCCACTATGGAAATTTGAGGGACATCAAACGCTTTCTCTCTCACACACACCCCCGTCAAATACTCATCCCAGAGTCATATCTCTAGAGTCCTTCCAGACTGTGTCAGGCATCTATCCTCTGCAATGAAGGAATTCTACACCATCTTGAAGGATGGCTGTGAGCACCTTCCAGGCACATCACATCTGTCTTCCAGATGTCAAACAGGTGAAAGAGAAACTTCTGGAGGCTAACACCTATCACAGACCCCTCAGCAGGCAGGCAGGTACACAAACTAATCCACTCAGTCATCACAACGTCCCCATGGTTTCATGGGCTTATTGCTCAAAATGACTTTCCTTGCTATCAACTTTGTCTTTTGCCCCAGGAGAGGGTGGAATTTTACACAGGGGTACATATAAACTAATCATTATGGGGTTGACCAGTTTTCCCAACTCGTCAAGTTTAAATTGAACAAGTTTATCAGCCTAAGTGGTCATCTCACTATCAGCGAGGAAGAGTAAGCACGGAATGCAGAATGCACCCTGTGAGGCCAGACATTCTTGCACCAGTCAGACCAGGGTATGAGAGCAGTAGGAGCCTCAGCAGAGAACCAGAGATCCAACACAAGACAGAGCTGACTGGTCACTGCTGTCTCGTGAAGCCAAGAGCCACAGGCCTTCACCCGAGCTTGCTGGAGGACTGAAGAGAGATGCTGTAACTGGCAGGATAAGGGAACTTGTAACACCAGCCTAACCCTTTAAGACTAAAGGCTGAAGGACTTGTGAGTTGCTTGAGAAGCTGCCCTGACAAAGAAATGTATCCTGCTGTCCCCCTGTATTATATCTCATGGACTTCCCCAATAAAACCCTGTAACTGTGATTACAGTTCTACAAGATCTATGTGGCCACTACAACAGATTACAGACTCTGTAAAAGAGCAGTATGACTGGAGATGGGATCTGCAGAAGTAGGTGGAAGAGCATGGAGTTACGTGTGACCTTATTAGTTTTACACTGTGGATGTTGTTGATGGGGACAGTTCTCCTTTATGAAGTCAACAGAAGTGAGAAGCAGCCATCCCTCAATGGCTGTAAAGATGATTGTCTTCATTTGAAATATTTAAAGCAGAAAAAAGTGGCTCACTTGCCAATTTAGCTCATCTCTTGACTGTGCTCCACTACTTCCCCTCGGCGAGTGACCTCATCATCTTAACAGTGGAATACTACAACTTCCAAGAGAAGGAAGTTTTGCAAAAAAAAAAAAAAATCTCATTTTATGATGAAGGGTTTTAAACATTAAAAGAGTCTTTCTTATATTAAGGAGAAATACTGTTGTTATGTGCAATACTGTTGTTATGCCTTCAAAGAGACTACAACTAACAGCAACCCTATGAGCAACAGGTCAGCATCTTTCTCTGTCCAATCCCATCCTCATGTTTCATGACCCAGTAACTACTAGAGTCACTGTCCATCTCGTTGGGGTCCTCCTCTCTGCCTCTGACCCTCCACCTTTCCTGGAAGGATGTCTTTTTCCAAAGACTGGTCCCTCTTGACAGCATGATGCCGAAAGTATATGAGACCAAGTTCCACCATCTTTGCCTCGAAAGAGCACCCTGGCTACACTTCTTCCAACATAGATATATTCATGCTTTTTTGGCAGCTCATGGGATATTTTGTGCTCTCTGCCAACACCACAATTCAAAAGCATCATCTTCTGTCATCCTTATTCATGGTCCAACTTTCACATGCATAGGAAGAACTGAAAATATCATGGCTTGTATTATACCTTCATCTTTAGACTGACATTAATGCTTTTCAGCCCTTTGGAGAGGTACGTGACAGGAGATTTTCCTGAAGGAACACTGCTTTTGATTTCTTGACTGCTGCCATCAAGGGTAGTGGCTGTGGCTCCAATGAAATCGTGGATAAAAGGTTTACAGAACAGGAGTAAGTCTGGAGTCGTACCGGCAGTACTTCAATCAACCATACAAGGCTTACAGGTGAAGCAATACGCTGCTTTATTTTTGCCTGGACGCGGGTGGGCTGAGTTCTTAAATTAGAAGTCAACTGCTCTTGCTGTTAGTGGGTTTGCTGGTTTTTTTGTTGTTGTTGTTATTGTTTTGTTTTTTGTTAATGGGGATTTTATAAACATTGTTGGTGGGTTCAGCAGATCACATGAAGAAGTCTTGATTGGACAGTTATCGGTTGGAGCTTTTTTCTTATCTTTCAGGTACAGTCTTGGGTCAACTTGTTTTTTGAGGTGTTCCTTGGAACATCTTATTTTTTGCCGATTCAGCTTTTCACGAGTAGTGGAGAAGAAGGAGGGGGAGAGCTTTACCTGAGAAGTAGAAATTCGAGAGACAAAGAAGACATTTTATTTTACCGAAGAGTTGACAGCTGTTCTCCATCTGCCATGATGCTGCCTACTGGCCGAGAATTGAGGATTTTTTTCTTCTTGATGCTGAAATGTAACCCATATTGAAGGCTGTAGTTTCTCATCTTCTGAAGTAAGTGTTTCAAGTCTTCTTGACTTTCTGCAAGCCAAGCTGAGTCATTTGGGTAATGCAGGTTGTTGATGCCACATTCTTCTTCAGTTAGTTTGGTTTCTCAAATTGGTCGTTCAGTATACAGATCT